GACCCTCTCCACCAGGCTGACCCTCCCCACCAGGCTGACCCACCCCACCAGGCTGACCCTCCCCACCAGGCTGACCCTCCCTACCAGGCTGACCCTCCCCACCAGGCTGACCCTCCCCACCAGGCTGACCCTCCCCACCAGGCTGACCCTCCCCACCAGGCTGACCCTCCCTACCAGGCTGACCCTCCCCACCAGGCTGACCCTCCCCACCAGGCTGGCCCTCCCCACCAGGCTGACCCTCCCCACCAGGCTGACCCTCCCCACCAGGCTGACCCTCCCAACCAGGCTGACCCTCCCCACCAGGCTGGCCCTCCCCACCAAACTGGCCCTCCCCACCAGGCTAGCTGGCCCTCCCCACCAAACTGGCCCTCCCCACCAGGCTAGCTGGCCCTCCCCACCAGGCTGGCCCTCCCCACCAGGCTGACCCTCCCCACCAGGCTGACCCTCCCCACCAGGCTGACCCTCCCCACCAGGCTGGCCCTCCCCACCAAACTGGCCCTCCCCACCAGGCTAGCTGGCCCTCCCCACCAAACTGGCCCTCCCCACCAGGCTAGCTGGCCCTCCCCTCCAGGCTGGCCCTCCCCCCCAGGCTGACCCTCCCCACCAGGCTGACCCTCCCCACCAGGCTGGCACCCCCCACCAGGCTGACCCTCCCCACCAGGCTTGCCCTCCCCATCATGCTGGCCCTCACTGCTAGACTGACCGCCAGGCTGGCCCTCCCCACCAGGCTGGCCCTCCCCACCAGGCTGACCCTCCCCACCAGGCTGGCCCTCCCCACCAGGCTGACCCTCCCCACTAGGCTGACCCTCCCCACCAGGCTGACCCTCCCCACCAGGCTGGCCCTCCCCACCAGGCTGACCCTCCCCACCAGGCTGACCCTCCCCACCAGGCTGACCCTCCCCACCTGGCTGACCCTCCCCACCAGGCTGGCCCTCCCCACCAGGCTGACCCTCCCCACCAGGCTGGCCCTCCCTACCAGGCTGACCCTCCCCACCAGGCTGACCCTCCCCACCAGGCTGACCCTCCCCACCAGGCTGGCCCTAACCGCTAGGCTTTCCCTCCCCATCAGGCTGGCCCTCCCCACCAGGCTGACCCTCCCCACCAGGCTGGCCCTCCCCACCAGGCTGTCCCTCCCCACCAGGCTAGCTGGCCCTCCCCACCAGGCTGTCCCTCCTTACCAGGCTGGCCCTCCCCACCAGGCTGACCCTCCCCACCAAACTGGCCCTTCCCACCAGGCTGACCCTCCCCACCAGGCTGACCCTCCCCACCAGGCTGGCCCTCCCCACCAGGCTGACCCTCCCCACCAGGCTAGCTGGCCCTCCCCACCAGGCTGACCCTCCCCACCAAACTGGCCCTTCCCACCAGGCTGACCCTCCCCACCAGGCTGACCCTCCCCACCAGGCTGACCCTCCCCACCAGGCTGACCCTCCCCACCAGGCTGACCCTCCCCCACCAGGCTGACCCACCCCACCAGGCTGACCCTCCCCACCAGGCTGACCCTCCCCCACCAGGCTGACCCACCCCACCAGGCTGACCCTCCCCACCAGGCTGACCCTCCCCACCAGGCTGACCCTCCTCACCAGGCTGACCCTCCCCACCAGGCTGACCCTCCCCACCAGGCTGACCCTCCCCGCTAGACTGACCGCCAGGCTGGCCCTCCCTACCAGGCTGACCCTCCCCACCAGGCTGGCCCTCCCCACCAGGCTGACCCTCCCCACCAGGCTGGCCCACCCCACCAGGCTTGCCCTCCCCATCATGCTGGCCCTCACTGCTAGACTGACCGCCAGGCTGGCCCTCCCCACCAGGCTGGCCCTCCCCACCAGGCTGACCCTCCCCACCAGGCTGACCCTCCCCACCAGGCTGACCCTCCGTGCTAGACCGGCCCTCCCCCACCAGGATGGCCCTCCCCACCAGGCTGGCCCTCCCCACCAGGTTGGCCCAACAGGCTGGCCCTCCCCGCTAGACTGACCACCAGGCTGGCAATCCCCCACCAGGCTAACCCTCCCCGCTAGACTGACTGCTAGGCTGGTCCTCCCCACCAGGCTGACCCTCCCCACCAGGCTGGCCCTCCCCACCAGGTTGGCCCAACAGGCTGGCCCTCCCCGCTAGACTGACCACCAGGCTGGCAATCCCCCACCAGGCTGACCCTCCCCGCTAGACTGACTGCTAGGCTGGTCCTCCCCACCAGGCTGACCCTCTCCGCTAGACTGACCGCCAGGCTGGCCCTCCCCACCAGGTTGGCCCTCCCCCACCAGGCTGACCCTCCCCACTAGGCTGACCCTCCCTGCTAGACTGACCACCAGGCTGGCCCTCCCCACCAGGCTGGCCCTCCCCACCAGGTTGGCGCAACAGGCTGGCCCTCCCCGCTAGACTGACCACCAGGCTGGCCCTCCCCGCTAGACTGTCACAGGCTGGCCCTCCCCGCTAGACTGACCGCCAGGCTATCCCTCCCCACCAGGCTGGCCGACCAGGCTGGCCCTTCCCACCAGGCTGGCCCTCCCCGCTAGACTGTCACAGGCTGGCCCTCCCCGCTAGACTGACCGCCAGGCTATCCCTCCCCACCAGGCTGGCCCGCCAGGCTGGCCCTCCCCACCAGGCTGACCCTCCCCGCTAGACTGACCGCCAGGCTGGCCCTCCCCACAGGCTGGCCCTCACCACCAGGCTGACCCTCCCCGCTAGACTGACCGCCAGGCTGGCCCACCAGGCTGACCCTCCCCGCTAGACTGACCGCCAGGCTGGCCCACCAGGCTGACCCTCCCCACCAGGCTGGCCCACCAGGCTGGCCCACCAGGCTGGCCCCAGCACCGCTAGACTAACCGCAAGGCTTGCCCACCAGGCTTACCCTCTACACCAGGCTAGCCCTCCCCACCAGGATGACCCTCCCCGCTAGACTGACCCCCAGGCTGGCCCACCAGGCTGGCCCACCAGGCTGACCCTCCCCGCTAGACTGACCGCCAGGCTGGCCCACCAGGCTGACCCTCCCCACCAGGCTGGCCCACCAGGCTGGCCCACCAGGCTGGCCCCAGCACCGCTAGACTAACCGCAAGGCTTGCCCACCAGGCTTACCCTCCACACCAGGCTAGCCCTCCCCACCAGGATGACCCTCCCCGCTAGACTGACCCCCAGGCTGGCCCACCAGGCTGGCCCACCAGGCTGACCCTCCCCGCTAGACTGACCGCCAGGTTGGCCCTCCCCACAGGCTGGCCCTCCCCACAGGCTGACCCTCCCCGCTAGACTGACCGCCAGGCTGGCCCTCCCCGCTAGACTGACCGCCAGGTTGGCCCTCCCCACAGGCTGACCCTCCCCGCTAGACTGGCCACTTGGCTGACCCTCCCCGCTCGACTGACCGCCAGGCTGGCCCTCCCCACCAGGCTGACCCTCCCCACCAGGCTGACCCTCCCCGCTAGACTGACCGCCAGGCTGGCCCTCCCCACCTGGCTGGCCCACCAGGCTGGCTCACCAGGCTAGACTGACCGCCAGGTTGGCCCTCCCCACAGGCTGACCCTCCCCGCTAGACTGGCCACTTGGCTGACCGTCCCCGCTAGACTGACCGCCAGGCTGGCCCTCCCCACCAGGCTGACCCTCCCCACCAGGCTGACCCTCCCCGCTAGACTGACCGCCAGGCTGGCCCTCCCCACCTGGCTGGCCCACCAGGCTGGCTCACCAGGCTAGACTGACCGCCAGGTTGGCCCTCCCCACAGGCTGACCCTCCCCGCTAGACTGGCCACTTGGCTGACCCTCCCCGCTAGACTGACCGCCAGGTTGGCCCTCCCCACAGGCTGACCCTCCCCGCTAGACTGGCCACTTGGCTGACCCTCCCCGCTCGACTGACCGCCAGGCTGGCCCTTCCCACCAGGCTGACCCTCCCCACCAGGCTGACCCTCCCCGCTAGACTGACCGCCAGGCTGGCCCTCCCCACCAGGCTGGCCCTCCCCACAGGCTGACCCTCCCCGCTAGACTGACCGCCAGGCTGGCCCTCCCCACCAGGCTGGCCCTCCCCACAGGCTGACCCTCCCCGCTCGACTGACCGCCAGGCTGGCCCTCCCCACCAGGCTGACCCTCCCCACCAGGCTGACCCTCCCCGCTAGACTGACCGCTAGGCTGGCCCTCCCCACCAGGCTGACCCTCCCCACCAGGCTGACCCTCCCCACCAGGCTGACCCTCCCCACCAGGCTGACCCTCCCCACCAGGCTGACCCTCCCCGCTAGACTGGCCGCCAGGGACCACCAGGCTGACCCTCCCCGCTAGACTGACCGCCAGGGACCACCAGGCTGACCCTCCCCACCAGGCTGACCCTCCCCGCTAGACTAACCGTCAGGCTGGCCCTCCCCACCAGGCTGACCCTCCCCGCTAGACTGACCGCCAGGGACCACCAGGCTGACCCTCCCCGCAAGACTGACCGCCAGGGACCACCAGGCTGGCCCTCCCCACCAGGCTGACCCTCCTCGCTAGACTGACCGTCAGGCTGGCCCTCCCCACCAGGCTGACCCTCCCCGCTAGGCTGACCGCCAGGAACCACCAGGCTGACCCTCCCCGCTAGACTGACCGCCAGGGACCACCAGGCTGACCCTCCCCGCTAGGCTGACCGCCAGGGACCACCAGGCTGACCCTCCCCGCAAGACTGACCGCCAGGGACCACCAGGCTGACCCTCCCCGCTAGACTGACCGCCAGGGACCACCAGGCTGGCCCTCCCCACCAGGCTGACCCTCCCCGCTAGACTGACCGTCAGGCTGGCCCTCCCCACCAGGCTGACCCTCCCCGCTAGACTGACCGCCAGGGACCACCAGGCTGACCCTCCCCGCTAGACTGACCGCTAGGCTGACCCTCCCCGCTAGACTGACCCTCCCCGCTAGGCTGGCCCTCCTGACCAGGCTGACCCTCCCCGCTAGACTGACAGCTAGGCTGGCCCTCCCCACCAGGCTGGCCCTCCCCGCTAGACTGACCGCCAGGAACCACCAGGCTGACCCCAGCACATATCACTGCTCGCTACTGTCCCCAGGAAGCGTCTGCGGCAGAAAGAGATGAGTCGCGGACCGTACAAGATCCTGCTGGCCTCGTCTGACCTGACACTGTCATGCCGCGCTGAGAACGCCCCGAGGAAGGTGGGAGATTATGTCTGCATAGCGGGATGTGTTCTGTCCGTCCTGGTATGTCTACCTCTATCTCCTAATCTCTGTGTCTGTCTGTCTCTGTCCGTATGTCTGTCTACCAACCATCTCCGTGTCTAGTGGATTTTGTGTTATTCATTCAGATGTTGTTATGGATCTCTTGTGACGTCCCCCCTGAATTATGCTCCCCTCCCTCGGTTGTCTGTTATGTTGTGGAACCTGTGCAGTTACTGATTATTCGTCTGCTTATTAATGTTCGCTTTATTTTAATCTTAATGTGAGATTTTCGTGTGTAGTGAGTGGCAGTGCTCACTACGTCTAGTGTGGAGGGTAGATGTGTGTGTGTGTGTGTGTGTGTGTGTGTGCCGCTGCTGCTGTGTCAGTTGCTGCTGCTGCTGCTGCTGTCTGTTGCTGTCTGCTGCTGCTGCCTGATGCTGCTGCCTCCTTCTCTGCTTCTACCCTATCTTAATTACTCCTTCACCTGCCCGTCACAAACCATCAATGGTATAATCCAGCCGTCCTCAAAATATTGGTCAGGTGGTCAGTAATCCCGCACGGCGTGACCCCTGAACACAACGGGGCGAGGGTACACGGTGTGGACGACACACCAGCCACCAAGGTACACGGTGTGGACGACACGCCAGCCACCAAGGTACACGGTGTGGACGACACGCCAGCCACCAAGGTACACGGTGTGGACGACACACCAACAGTAGTGAAATATGAGACTAGAACCGTGTGCACCATCTGGCCAGGTGGGCCTAATAGGCCCAGGTGGCCAGCTGGTTGAGGTATGTAGGCCTTCCGGTATGTGGGGAGCTTTTCCCCGGATGTTTGGCGCGCGCCGGACGCGTGTGAGCATCCGGTGTCTTGTTAGGCGTTATGGACTGATGGGGGTCATGTTGTGTGGGGTAGTAGAGTATGTGGGGTATGTGGGTAGAGTAAGGAATAGGAGAAGAATAGGATAAGAGTAGAATATGTGGATAAGAGTAGATGAATATGTATGTGTGTTTGTCGTAGAGTCAATCCAGTGTGTAGAGATAAATAGTTAGATTAATAGATGAGGGTAAGTAAGGCTATGTAGAGGGGGTGGAGGGGGGAGGGTCTCAACATATGCTGGTATGTTGAGGGGTGAGGGAGGGGGGCTTCCCCTCGACCTGAGAGGGTCCTGAGGGGTAGGAGAGCAAGGGACTTAAGATGACGAGGGAACAGCTGTTTGAGGTTTTGTGTTTTTGACAGTGGGGTCAATATTTTTCTAGGTGTCAAGCCGGGTTGTTTTGGGCGCGGCACCAGGGCGGATGTGGTCCCCCCCCCCTCACACCCCACTTCCCCTCAGCTCCCCCCTCGACAGGTGAGAACCTGTATCTATCACCTATGACTTTCACACACTCACTCCGTGGGTCTGGAGGACTGCTTTTTGATGACAGCAATACGGCACACCATAGTCACTCCTGTCACAGCTCACTCTGCCACATAGCAGCAGCCAGACATGGGCCATGAGGCAGCCCACATACCGCTAAGAAAGGAGAACAGTAATTGTGTGTAGTCTTTGACGCCTCACACATTAAAGTGTGGTCATATGTCCCACCCGCCCCTCACTCCCCTCCCATGCTCCTGCCCCTCACTCCCCTCCCATGCTGCTGCCCCTCACTCCCCTCCCATGCTCCTGCCCTTCACTCCCCTCCCATGCTCCTGCCAGTCATCAATTTCCCACTTCACATTTCCCCAGTCCACCATAAACGAGGCAAACACATATATATATATATATATATATATATATATATATATATATATATATATATATATATATATATATATATATATATATATATATATATATATATATATATATATATTTTTGTATTCATATCAAGTAATGTTTATAGCCTGAGGTAGAGTTTTTTTTTTAATCTCGCTCATAATTTGCTAGGACTGAGTAACAAACCTCTTCATAGCATTGAGTGTGTGTCATTGTTCATTCTCAAAGATGAGCCATGACCTCAACATACAATTTCCGAGGGAGTGGTGTGTACAAATGAGGGTGCTAATTTAGCCGCACTGTTTTTGTAAACAGGGTGGGTGAAAGGGGCACCCTTCTCCCTCCCCTCCCTTACCTTCTAGAGTGGTATGGACCAGGACCACATACTCACACATAGACCTGAGAAGTGTCATCACACGGCACATCACTTAGTAAACTCAGTCAAAGTCAGTAGGTTAGAGTTTACTGAAAGAGGGAAACATTTTTTTGGTGGGGAGCGAGCCTTCGAGGCGGGTCGCCTCCGTAAAGGTTGACACATGACTGAGGCTAAATGTGGTGACACCGTACACCTTAGCCGACCGCTCCCTCCCCTCACACTTGACACCCGCAAGTTAGCAGCTAACACGCTTTTCTCCCTATACAGAATAAAAATAAATAAATAGTTAGGAGAAGTAAACCCATTATATATAATTTTTATTCTTTATTATTATTTAACATCAATCCCAGGAGCTTCGCAATTACACACATCTGGGGTAGTGGTTTGATGCGTAGTGAGATGGACGAGGTATTGGGATGACCTTACCCTCACCCCTGTCCACCCCCACCAAACCCCAACCCCCCTCCCACCCCCCTTCCAATCCCAAACCATCAAGCATCACTTCACCCTTCCCAGACCGGATGTTCTATGCAAAGTCTTTAGTAGTAGTATTATTTCCTGTTCATATGTAGAGTAGTGATCCCGTTCACAAACACACAAATGCTATCCCATTCCACACATGCTCACCAGAGGACATACCACGCTGGAAGACAGAAGAGTTTGGTGAGACGTGATCACGAGGTCTTGAACTAGATAATGACAGGGGAACAACAAAGCTGTGATATTGAAAAGAAACTGAACTGAATTTGAAAGTTGATTAATATATGTAATGTGAAGCCAATCTGCTGGAAAACAGTAAGCAAACTTTATTTGAAAAGAATATGAGAAGACTGAAAAGCAGGACGCGGGGAAATGGGTAAAAATAAGAAGTAATGGTCATCATAAACATAACATAAGATATCCATGACCGTAATTAATACAGTGTGAACTCTCTTAAAGCTATGCTCACCGTGAAATCTCGTCACTAAGAATAACTTGTCACTCTGCGAAACAAATTATTGACTATAAGTGCGACAGTGAGAATAAAATGAGCACTTATGTTTTGGAGTACTATTTTAGTCAAGAAATGCTGTAAAGGATGATTATTGACTAAAGAGACTTTCGCGGACTGCTGGTGTTTGATGTGTTGAACTGCTTAAAGGAACCATATTTCCTAGAAAAAAAATTCCTGTGAAATAATGCGTGTTATATGTTTTGACTATCTAGCTAATAGCGTATTGCCTGGCTAATAATGAAATGTCACATTTTGTCTGACTCACTTAGCACAAGTGAAGAGAAAACATTGAAAAACTTGCAAAGGTTAAAACTCTGTGAAATCATATCTGTTATGTTAAGTTTTGACTAACTGATTAATAGCTGACTATTACTACATTACTGTCTTTATGTTATGTTTACCTCGATAGCGTTGTAATGCTTGGAAATTGTATGTGTGGATCCCGTTTCCCTCTTACTGCACATCAATAATGGTGGCTGTAAAGTATTTTTATGGAACATGACTCTTCTTATTCTTACCCCTTTTTAAACACTAGATGCAATACCCAAGCTGTGTTTGCCTTCTCTCTCTCTCTCTCTCTCTGCTCTCTCTCTCTCTCTCTCTCTCTCTCTCTCTCTCTCTCTCTCTCTCTCTCTCTCTCTCTCTCTCTCTCTCTCTCTCTCTCTCTCTCTCTCTCTCTCTCTCTCTCTCTCTCTCTCTCTCTCTCTCTCTCTCTCTCTCTCTCTCTCTCTCTCTCTCTCTCTCTCTCTCTCTCTCTCTCTCTCTCTCTCTCTCTCTCTCTCTCTCTCTCTCTCTCTCTCTCTCTCAATATGGATGTGGGTTATTTGTGTGATCTTGGGAGATATGATCACCACATATAAGTTTCTCAAAGAAAATGATAAGCTATGTAAGGACCTATTATTTAACACACACACAAGACATCCCTGCAGTAGTGAGATTCCCTTTGATAGCTGTGCCCGTGTCAATGAACAATTAAAAGTTCAAAGATGTTTCGGAGTGCTATTTTAGTCAAGAATTATTTTAAGATTGGAAAACTTTAAACTAAGGTAAATAATCACACATGAAGTGATTTCCACGTTCAGTAAACACTTACTGAGTTGTAAACTGAATGCCTGAGCCACCCAATATATGGATGATGATAGTAGTATTTAATTTAAGATGGAAAACTTTAAACTAAAATGAACTCACATGAAGAAATGTAGGTAGTGAACATGTCTCCTCAGCCTTTTATCTTCTGCAAAACCTTTCCTCCTATCTCAACCCTATTAGTTCATGTTCTCGTGTTTCACTTCTTCTTAAAACTAAATCTTCAACAAGATCCTGTAGATCTGAGGCAAAGTGAAATTGACAGTGCTTAATTTAGAAACTGTACTTGTGGTCGGTCTCGAACCCATTGTTGATGTGACGACTTATATTGAATTTTGTAACTAGCTGATCAAGATTGTAACTTGCTTAGCTAAATGAATTGTGGGGTTCAGTCCCTGAGCCCATTATGTGCCTCTGTTACCCTTTCCAATAACGCCCGCAAGATAGGTATGGGGTGCATAATAAATGAACTAAACTAACTAAACTGTCATACAGTGCTAATGGCATAAGGTCAGCCTGACGAAACTGTAGATGCTATGTCCTACCAAATTGAAGCCGGGTATTTCAAAAATTACTCAACTCGAGAGAGAAGCAGTCTATCCCATATCATGTTAGAGTCTTCAGTCCACTGTTGCTGTTGGACTTACTGAGTTACTAAGGGATGGTTTTAAAATATAATAATAATAATAATAACAAGACTAAGATTCGTGAGGTATATGTTGTGATCACACAGTTAACAAAAAAATATTAGAGTTTGTAGGTAGTGATCACGTCTCCCC